GCATATGCTGAGCAACAAAAGGACACGCTGTTCAAATCTCCCTCAGTATTGTGCACTTCGCGGTGGTTCTCCCGTGAGGGAGCCAGCAAGACTGAGCTTCCAGATACCCAGGCATCTGCACGTGTACTATAGTCTGAACTTCTTAAAGGGGGTGTATATAGGATTATACAGGGGAGTATGATAGGGCTTCTTAATGGGGACACTAGGAGTTTAGACTATGGTGTTTCAAATGGATGCAGAAGGGTCCATGCAATACCCTCTTTGTAATTTAGAGGTATTAAGATTGATAAGATTATGGTCCCATCCTGGACACACCCTTACACCCTACACCCTGAACCCTCCAATGATAGCCACCCTGGCCCAAACATAGCCCCCACCCAATTGAAACCGTTTCTGAGCACAAAACCCCTAAGTCCCAATCCCAACACTCTACACCCCTGAAACTCCCAAACCCCTTAAACCCTAAAATCCCTAAACGCCCGAACCCGCCCTTGAACCCTAAACCATTGAGCCCCTAAACCCTACAACCCCTTAAACTCCTAAGCCCTAAACCCTCAAACTCCTAAACCCTAAGCCCTTAAACTCCTAAACCCCTAGACACCGAAACCCTACCAAATCATGTTAGTCTTGTTGACTTTTGTATCGCTGCTGGCAGCCGGGAAGTGTGAAGTCACTACGCGTGCCGCCGAAGGCGGCACAAGAAGGATACTCAAAATTCAAGGGTTCAGGGCTTAGGGTTCAGACTCATGATTTCTCACGTTTTGAAAGCTTAGGGCTTGAAAGGTCATGTGGCTCAGTCGTTGAGGTATATAGAGTTTTTGGATTATATCGTGTAAGGAGAGGGGTGTAGGGATTGGGGAATACAGGCTTTGGGCTCGGGGAACTCGATGATAAGCAATTTCATGACCGCGTTAGCTAGAGTTAGCCTTTTGGTGGGCCACACGTCTAAATATACTTAAACGAAGCTCAACTTGGGTATTCCTAAGAATATATATTTTGAATATCATGGACCAGAATGCTTATAATAATCCTTATAAAGCTATAAGACCTCAATTTCTGTAGGGCCGGAGTCCATCCCAGTTGACGAGTCACCCACCAAGTGAGCTATACTCTTAACTCCTAGTATCCCCCCGATTACCCCTTATAATACTCCCCTATATAATCTCCAACCTCCCCTTAAGGAGTTTAGACTATAGCTTAAGTATGGCTTATCAAAATGTAAGCAGTCTTGCAGGCCGTAGGAATATGGGGACTTCCCAGCATTCGGGGTACCTTTGAGAGAGTCCTGGTAATAAGGATTATAGTAGTTTGGGGTCTCCATTCAGGGATTTCTTCAGGGCTTAGGGCTTAGGCTACTAGTATACCGGGATCCCTGATAAAGGGGGAGGCGAGTCCCTATGAAGGATTATATGTGGATGTTTGAGATCTGCTAGTTTTCCCAAGTTAGTGGGCGTTATAGGGACTACATGGAGGAGTTCAGGTCTAGAGCCTCGGGCTTAGGGAGGCATCAGGAATGTAAGAGGTTGAGAGCATTGCAGTGTAGGATGGGAATCGGGTTCTTCTCAAAATGATGGGCCCCTTTTCGGATATGGATTATATTACGGCACCTAATATTTGGGTGTACCAGACCCCAATTTTTGAAACTACCCTAAGCCCTAAACCCTAAACCCAATCGAATTTTGAGAAAGAGCCATGCCGTCTGCATTCTGAGCAGCGCCGAATTATTGAGGAAATGTGCCACTCATTGAGGCAATATTGGTTTTGGGCTTAGGGGGTTATATTGGGATAATGGAAACCAAGATGGAAATTACGATAGTGGGCTCTATAGGTGTTCTAAATAGGGTATATATTGGGGTTATATAGGGAGAATGGAAAAATTTGGAAACTACTAGATTTATTTAGGTGTTATATAGGGGTTAAATTGAGATGATGGCAAATAACGTGGAAACTGCTCTTGAGGGTTTCGTACATGCTTGAGTCCTTCCACCTGCACTGAATCTACACTAATCTTCGAGGACCTTTCGTGATTCTTATTGCGCCAAGGATTATGAGACGCTAAGGGGTTTCAAAAGTAGGGCGCGGTCGACATGTAACAAGGTGAAACCGTGCATGTCCGGACTTCGGACCAACGAGGTGGAACCTGGACATATTGGGGGTTTCCAAAACATAAGGGTCCGTTTGCGGGTCCCTATAATATTAGGACGAGGTTTATGTTAGTTGAAGTCTCGCTGCTTCTAGAGACTCCCATGTATGGTGCTTATAACAGGGATCAGATTGGGTCTATTGGATGGTTGAGTCAGGGGAGTCTCAGGATTTCAGGCCACCGTTGTATAGGTGTATAGGTTATATGGGGTCATATGGAGATAATATAGGGTATTATAGGGTAATATAGGGATATATAGGGGATAGTGGAAAAGAACATGGAAACTACTATATATCAAGGACAGTTCCAGGTGGG